GACACGAAGAAGGGACATTAGTGGAGACCCATGGTAGCCCTTTTTCAAAACCAAGGATTAAACAAACAACCAATGTAATGCAGTGTTCTGTGCCGATTTTGTCAAGCTAAATCAAAGGTTTATACAAATCTTCAGACAAGACTAGTTACTATGCTTGTCTTGAGGTTTTTTAACCCTGAAACCAGAAATAAAAATTGCAGTCAAATAAGAGCACTTCTGTGTTTTAGATTTTTGAAGAAAGGTGCAGATCGGATGGTTACTGCTAGGTAAAAAATAAAGGTAAAACGAAATCCACACCCAGTAACTAGGAAGAATTAGTATATCATCTCAGATCAACATTATAAGGAAGGTAATGGCTAGCAGATACAGCGAGATGGTGTGGATGGGAGGGAGATGAACGGAGACCAAAAACAAGTGAACGCCTTATAGCAGAATTTCTTTTTTGGTGATATCACCCGCTTTTATCAGAGGAAGAAATTTAGATACTATTTCTTTATACCACTTAACTTTAACGAAACAAATACCTCCGTTGCCGATGTCAAATTTACAGCGTATGGAAGCTGGCTAACCCAATTTCAACATTTTAGTTCTCTATAAAATACATAAATTGTCAAAGCACCAGTTTAAGGTTTAAGACCATGTCTTCTTCGTCGAGGGAAGACGGATGCTTAAAGTTTTATCTCATTTCGAGTAGCAATAAACAAAGCGCTTTAAGGTTACCTAGTTTTAACCAGTCAATCAGCCAAAAATCGTAACTGTGGCGATACCGTCTGGCAGATATTGAGAGGAAGGGTGAAATGAGAAGGCCAGAAAGTAAGTGTGATTCAGTGGGATTCAGAACGCAGTGAACATTCCGCGGGTAGAATATGGAATGTTCCATTGATTAACTAGGGGAACTCCAAGATGTGGTCTCCTCTAGGCTGGAAAATAGAATTTGACTCCAAATAATGGTTTTGTTCGATTTAATTCTCACCATATTTTCACATTATGCAAACTTCCTTAAATCGTATTTCAGTATACGAGTTTGGGAATTAGTGCAGAAACTATTAATGTAAATCGTGATGTTGTAAAATTATTCTTATTTAATAGATTTTGCTTTCGTAGACAATTACAAGAAATACTGATGAGCGTTTTGTCATTTATGACAACTTACTCATTCTATTTGTCACTTAAATTGGCTTTTACCATTCTGTGTAACAAATAAACTACGTCAACATTTTAAAGGAGATGAAATCCTTTACGGTGCGGATACAGCATGTACCCCCTCTGTGAATAAACTTGGTAGATGAAGGGATAGATGTGCTATTACGCGAAGTATTACCCACTGCGGCAAGAGGATATAGGAAAGACCTGGTCTCAGAGAGGTGAGCCTCCTCTGGCTAACGTTGTTACTTTAATTTTCAGTCAAGAAAACGCATTCATTCTTAACTTATGCTTCTTTTGCATTTGCAAACAGGATGAATTAGCCATTGCACTATTTTAAGGAGATGGGCGTAGCCACCTTGTTAAGACAAATCTACAAACATTGGAAAGGAATAACTTGCATATAATCCGGTTTAAGCCACTACGGCCGAAAATACTGGAGGTTCCTAACCCCAGCAATCCAACCACACCTGCTAAACACCCGAAAAGGGTAAAAGAGCCAAGTAACAGTTGAGGTAGCATTTTGAGGAGCACATTGTGTGATCACACGCCATACAGGTCGGCCTTTTAACATTTATACCAGTCGTGCCTTTTTAATGTACTAAACACCACTAAAGTCCACCTTGTTTCAAACTACTTCGATTGCAAAAAAGCCCCCCTAGAAGACTAGAAGAAATATCTTTGGCGTTGTTACAACTCGCGACAACCTCCTCACTCAAGTTTTTACCTGTCTGACATTTTTTTCCCCCATTTTTTAGACCATTAATTTGTGGTTACACTAACCTGACCGGATCAAAACGTGATGAAATGGAACTTAAAGTATGTGCTCAAATGATGTAAATAGCTGAGTTACCCCGATTTAAGAGACTGTAAACAAAAGATAGTGAATAGCACGTCCGAGCGACCAAATCATCCCCTCTAAAAGCACTAAAATAGACCGAGTAACAGTGCAAGCACAAGTTATTAGACACTGAGCGGGAGCAAAATAAAAGGGAGGGGATATAAGAGTGAGGGAGAGAGTGGGACGAAGCTCAGAGGGAGGTGCGCTGGTCTCCATTTGCGGAGGAAGTGGCGGCATCACCAGTGGTAGCCATGGAAGCGGGAAGGTCGCGCTCAGCAAAAAGGGTGTAGCCCCTGGAGCGCACCACCCCCCGATTCTTGTAGTACTCCGCATAGCGCATCAACCACGAGGGCCTCCAGCCTGCTGCGTCTTCCGCGCTGAACTCGTTACGCATCACCGCCTGCAGCTTCTCTTCTGGCAACATGTCTAAAAAGAAGAAAACCATCTTCCTAAGTTCTGGCGGACACTTTTCAAGGGTCATTGCTGCCATCTACTAAATAATGCTGTGAATACTATCAAGTGAATATTACAGCGGAAATGGGGCGCCTCATATTTTAACACTAATGATATGCAAGTTTTAGATCATAGTGGTCATTGTGAATGTTAAATGGCTCCTACCTGAAATTAAGTGAACAAGCATATACAGAAAAATTCTGCTACCCATTTAAAAACTGGGCAAAAACTTAGCCCTTCAAAATGTTTAGTGAAAAGCAGCATTAACTATTGACTGGGAGTTCTTTCCTTACATCGTAGTAAAACTGTGCCGTTAACAAATAATGATTTAAAGATTTTAATTAGCAAAGCTGTTGTAGCTAAATTAGGCGTCAGTCTACTGATGGTGAAAAAGCAGTAACAGTGACAGCACACTTGGAAGACGGAAACTAAAGTGAGCTCGATCTCTGCACGTGAAAGACATTACTTTAGGTCACGCTTCTTGAAAGCTGACCCTTGCACATATTTGAAAACTGTTAAATTTGTCTCGGGAAAAGGTAGAGGTGGCAACGCCAACTGAGTAGAACTTAGGTGATTTACTAAACGATTAACTTGAGCGGCAAATTAGTACCCCAAATGAGCAATGAATTTCTCTTCAGATACCCTAGTAATAGTTATTGGCTCAACGGTCAAAATGTCCCAGACATGTGCCGAACCGCTATTGTTCGCACTTTCATGAAGAATTTCCCCGAATTTTTTGAACAAAATTAAATCAACAACCCTCAATGACCACCTTTTAGCGTGCAGTGAGGCACATATCCGGCCCAATAGTGTAATCTAACCTCTTTTGCCGATTAAGTATTGGATTTCATAATGTTGTTTCAATAAAGATATCAATGACTTATGAAAGTCTTAAACTCTGATTCAGAAACCACGTTGAAGGCCCGACAATTGATCTTTAAGGAGACATTTTGAACTATCCCACTACTTGGCACCCGCAAAGTTGTTGTGTGAATTTCAAGGTAAGTAATCTACAAGAGAGAGACTTGAAAATACCAATCCTCAAATGAAGTTAATCAAAATACAAAACTTCAGTGGAGCTGACATCGTAAACAGCATTCAGGGTTGTGAGGAGCCTTAATGAGATTGGAAATGTTCCATGTTAACGATTAAGTCTGTCTAGTTTAACAAAGGGTACTTACCAGCGGAGTCGTGATGTGTGAGAAGTTGAATACTGTGGAGTTTGGCGAAATTCTCCAACTCATCGCCCAACAGACAAGTGCTGCCGATGAACACCTGATTTACCTTAGGAGGGATCTGTGTTAAAGGGAAATGTAAGGTCAGATGCTGTCGGCCCCCGAGAACCATATTAGCCTCGAAAACGTCGACTAGGGTCAAAAGATGGAAGTTTGGAGAGAAGGGAAAGAGAAATTTGCAAGCTGAGTGGATAAGGCCGGATAATTAGATTGGCCATGCCGACACTAAACACTTTGGCACGAGTTCTAGGGCACCGGAATCAGACAAAGAAACCCGAGAACAAATGTAATTGAATTCTTAAAATTGAGCGAATAGACAAAATACGGAGCCGAAGTAACAATTTAAACCCACTTTAAGCTTTTACGCTACACAACATCAAAAACGCCATAGTATAGTTAACTGCATAGGAGAATTTTGAATGCATGAGCCGCTTTTTCGTTTTTGAATAAACAGGATATTTCTGCGACTGCCATTGCAAAAGCTGTCATTAGTTTTTAACCAGGCTAAAAGAAAAGCAAAAAATGTCATAAAAATGCAAAAAAATTCATATTCAGCCAGCAGATCTAATGACGAATAGAGTGTAATCTTGAACCAGCAGCACCAGATGACACTAGTGATGAGACCTCAATGGACTTATTTAAAGTTCAGACACAACATGGGGGCAGAAAGTGCAAATAAATGGCCTTTGTAGTAAGTCTTACAGCAGAGCATAAATTTCAGGCCAATCGGAATTAAAAGGCGAGAACTGAAAAGTCAACTAATTAATCGAATTCCAATTTAATTTAAATTTACTAAACACCATCAAAAACTGGAATCTTTCAACACTAAAACCAAATATGTACTAGTACCTCAAGTTCATTTTAACGAAAAAAGTTAATTTGAAAGGCGTCAATCGAAATGCCATACATGAGAGAAAAACGACTGGGGTAGATAGTTCAAACATTGATCAAAGTAAATACTGCCATGATCAAGACGCTCAAGCAATGTAAAATTAGAGTGAGAATCAAAACACTTGACCCGGAGATACCAATTTAGTTTATGATGAAAATTCGACAACTTAATAAGCTAGAATAAAAATAACCCTTCAAGCACAAAACATTCAACTATTACTTTGGGAAATAAAAATTACAAAGATGAACTGGTCGATATACGGCAATTGAAATTCGACAGTCCAGTTTTGGAAGCATTAGCGGGAAACAATTCATGTCTGAAAACGAATGGGTCAGACAATAGTCTGGACGCAGTATATGGCAGACTAACAAGGACCCTACAGTTTATCTTTAGTTGAAGAGGCTTTTTGTGATGCGTATACACACAACGACAGCCAGACCTTACATTGGGATCTCAACGGACGATCTTCCGTAAGATTAAAATGATATCATACTTTAAGTACCAAAATGCTATTTCAACAAGGGTTTTGTGCAGATGCAGCTTAATGCGTAAAGTAAAAAGAAGGTTAGCGTATTTCCAGCGAAAAAGTAACAACTAACATATTGTGCCTGCCATTATGGAATAAAGTAATATACACTCAAAAATTATTGCTCCCTTTTGGAAAGAAAAATGAAAAACGATTCTTTAACTGTAACGGTTAGCATCACCGAATAAAATTATTATTACGGTTTCACTATAGTTAAACGAATCCGACTCATACACAAAGCGACTGAATTCATGAAAAAAGTAATAGTACGAACCAAAGTAAATAGGACGACGGAGTACAAAACGAGTAATCCATTGTATGAGATAACGAAGTGCGTTTGCGCGGGTTTTTATGGGGATTCGCAATAGGGGGAAAATGATACAAAGAAAAATAAAGGGTGACATACTGATGGACAGACACATACACATACTTTATAGTGCAAATTTCCAAATGTATGCACTTTAAAGCTTCCTACGAATCATAGCAAGTCACCTCAGCAAGTAGCGGAATACATAAGACGCACGAACCCTTTGATCACCTGATTGAAAAAAGCACAATCACTAGCGGAGACACCGTTTCACACTCCTTTCCAAACTTGATGTGCAGCAGAAGCGTAGCCCTCTCTCAGCCGCAGTGATAAACAAACCACGGTTGTATGTATTAAGGTCAAATCATTAGCTCAATTGAGCAAATATTGTTTAGCGCGTGCGATCATCGAACTGTGATTCGGTAAAGCAGCAGATTTGGAATAGGTCAAAAGTCACACAAATTGAAGACAAGACTAAAAAATAAAACCACCGTGACTATGCGCGCGTGCGTTTATGATAATGGGTGCTCAGACAACACAAGATGGAGAATAATTCAAATAACTGCTCATCATTGGATCCACTTTCAGACCTAATTTCTACTTATTGCAAGAATAAGTGCTGATGGAATCCCACGAAAGTGCCTCCGTAGCAGCAGTAATCCGTAAGGAAGTTTAGCAGTTAGAGAGATTCCAACACGATGGAACTTCCAACGTGGAAGTAATAAGATGTAAACACAAATTTAACAAAAACAACGCTAAAATGGCAGGGTAAGAAAGTGCATGCTTGGACTACAAACGCACCTTAACAGCCGCACAAAGCGCCTCCAAATCAGTGACAGGCATATCACTAACTCCTAGTCTGAAAATCTTATTGCCTTCAACGAATTCCTCTAAAACAGGCCAAATTTTAAGGAGGCTGTGGGCGGTGTTCTGAGGGATTCGAGCCCAAGGAAGGCCCATGCAAGGTGGGTGGTCAACAAGAGCCCCTCGAGAGAGTTCGGGTGAGAGCGAAATTATCAGTGTTTCCAAGTCTTCTAGACCCAGTCTGTCCAGCGCTGAAGAAAAAGTTCGGTAGAGTTCAGCTAGTGTATAATACCCGGGCTAAAGGTAGACAATTGATCACTTACTTTTATTGACGGCCTGTCTAATAGAGTCGTGATCATCTGTAAAAAGGAAGAGTTTGGCTGAAACAATAACGTTGCTGCGTTCTGATTCAGGGATTTTGTCCCTGTGTTTGTCGCAGGCAATGCAAAGCGTTTCTTGTTCCTATAAGAAGAGGCTCACATACTATGAGGCATCTTTTAGCATCACGTAGTGCATTACAACTGACGTACACAAAGATCCGCATTCCGACGCGAATGCCAGCAATGCATGACGGTCCTGATGCAAGTTTCGACCTGCAAGAATGACAGGACAAAATAGACGGTAGTAATATGGAGTCCGACAAAGTGCTGTGACAATGAAGGTAGGCCATCCCAAATGCACTTTGGCCTCCCCATAACTAAGTAAGTAAAATTAATGTGCGTAGACTTCTCAAACAATATCTAAACTCGACAACTGCAACGATTAAACTTCACATTTGGGATATTCATAAAGTCAAATACCTCCACAGCCAACATATCATTCAACCGATTAAGATGCTCAAATGAAAAGTTGCCCATAAATGTTTTCGCAAAATGAACGTCATAGATTGTTCGAGTAAATATGTGGGCAAATCACCTCTTCAAAGGGGTTTCTGATAAGCTGCATGTTATTCCACTTCAGAATATTGCTGGTATGAAGAAAACACTGTCTCGCCTTTGGAAACTCCGACATCTTCACCCTAGTCTGCTGTACATAAAACTAAGGTTTATAAAGATGTGGCTGCAACTAAAAAACGTGGACAATTTAATCAAATTACGAGGCTGGAGATATGAGATTGTAGTCATACAAATAAACAACAATGACATTTTCATTGACTGCTTGTATTCTCTGCATAAAAAGTACATTTTTAAACTTCTAACTCAAAATAGCCAAAATATATTTTTAGGTAAGTTCCTTTATTGTCACAATAAATAACTTCACCCAAATAACTCAATGGCTTCTTAATTGCTTTGATTATGCTTAAGTTGTGTTTTGCTACTGCTATTAGGATATGCGTTGAAGTAAAGACTTCCACCGCTACTTCACCTGGTGCATAATAAGCGCCAAACACATAGCCACACAAAACTTCTTTAAGACGCATGGAGACATAGTACCCGAATGAAATATATGCATTTGACACACAGTAGAGCTGAGATTAATGGCTTGGCTCAAGGACTAGTCGACCCGGCAAAGATGCAATGGTAGAGACCCATAGCAGCCTTTTATTAAAATTAGGAGTTTAACAACCAGCGTTTCACATAGATGTTCTCTTAGCGTCGAAATTCACCACCGCATAGTTTTGAATAAAGTTTATATGTAGTGATTCATCTTATTAGCTTTGATTCACGCCTTGCTGAGTTGCAGTGTAGTTCTTTGAGTTTCTAACGCTTGCAATAAAATACGCCAATGTGGAAGAATAACTTATTTTTAGTCTACATTACAACCGAAGTACAAAATATGAAGACTGAGGAGTCTGATTGGCCAAATATGTACCGAGACAAGCATTATTGTAGCGTCCCGAGACTTGCCTGAAGATGAAAGAAGACACAATACTCGGGCAGAATACACATTCAATACAGAGAAGGTGTTTGCGCTACTGGCATGGCCCGAAGGCCACCTTACCCAGCGAGGTACAAGAAGGCAAATCCAAAGGTCTAAAGTGGCGCCTCACCAATATCGAGGAATAAACCACCGTCTTCTTTTCCTATTGTTTCTGTGGTCGCTTTTCTCCTTTAACCTTATAGAAGGTCAATGGTGTAAAAGCCACTTATGAGTCAGAGACCTCCCACCAGTAATAACAAACTTTTCACAGAGTCGGAAGGCCATTTGGCATCGACATCAGTAATGCATTTTCGGCTTCCTCGAAGAGGATTCACTGGCCTCAGACTGATCGAGTCTGGCCAGCCCTCTACATGCGCACCGTACACCATATGTAGGAGTATTTACCTGTAACTCGAGCTATCCATTGAAAGGTAAAATTTGAAGCAGCTTAGAAAAGCTTATATCCCGTGCCACTTTTTTCTCTGCTACGTTGTTCTCGATCCATTCAGCTGTCATGGACATAACAGAGGCATCATCTACTAGCACTATTTCCACCTCTTCATATAGATATCGTAGGCCGCTTCCCAGCAGGGGTTTCAGGACTGTTTAAATATAGACTCATTTTGGCTGTTAAATGCTTTCCTGAAGGACGCGATGTCAGAGTGATCATAAAACCTGCAGTGAGTCATCGCAGATTTAGCCGTCTGTAACGAATGTCTTCCTCCTACGACGCCAAGTCCTAATCTGTAATTGAGAGATTTGTTCTTTTTGACCGGATTTTTACTTTACCTCTAGCACAACGCTTAGAACCTCTTCTAAAACCATAACGGGGCATGCCAACTAGGAAGGTCGGGACGCTACGTGTACGGCGAGGGAGCCATTCCACCAGACCACGGAGAATGCGGAGCCAGTGCGGTCGGAAACAAAGGCCCCACATCAACATAGTAGTTCATACCTGTTTACGCGAACACAACTGTACCTGCTCTATCCAACGTGCCTATCAAATAAAGAATGAAACTAATCACGGGGTACAGCGCCCTCTGTTCAGGGAGGTCAACATTCCCCAATCAGCCTAATATACGACTTACGGCGCCTTAGCGTAATCTCCGGCCCCTCTCATAAAAAAAGACAAACAACTTGTCTACCAACCACCAAGCCTATTGAAACTAGCACCAGCAGTTTAAAAGGTAAAAGAAACCCGCATCTATTGCCTCTGTCTAACCTGGTCAAGCCTGCAACCATTAGTGTCAGTTGAACGAGCAGCCTCTGCTCTCACTGGTGCCTCAAAATAGGTACTAATTTCAAAATGTCGCGATTCCGTTTTGATGTCAACATCCAAGTGAGATAAGACCCAGGATGAGGAATCAAATGAATAGTGGCGAATACTGTCCCATGGTATCCGACACCATGCATCCAAAACTGAGAATTTTACAAGACTCGTAGCAACAGACACATCAAAATACATCAACGCAAATCGCAAACTCCGCCTGTTATCATTCAAACACACCCAGAGATAACATGTCAAGTGAGCAGTCTTGGTAGCGTGTAAAACGACTGCCTGAAAAAGTTAACGTCAGTAGTAATACGGTTTATCACCATCGAGCACTTTCCCCACAATGTCTCCTCAGAAATAATAACACACTGGGGAACCTAATCTAACACTAAAACACTGGGATAATTTACGAGACCACACGAGTAAGACCGCTCAAAACGCTTGGGAATAAACACCCACATTACGGTATATTGAAATAATAGAACCCACAGGTTTATTCAAACCATTACTTGCTAGGTTTCTTCTTGGGACGAAGGTTGCTGTTGTGACCACACTTTCTTTTACGGCAATTCGTCGCGCGCGGATGGAGACGAGCATAACACTTACGGCAGATCATCTTCTCACACTTGTACTTCATGGCCAGAGCCTTCATTGTGGGATCCATTGCACCACCACGAAGACGAAGCACAAGGTGAAGGGTTGACTCCTTCTGAATATTGTAGTCAGATAAGGACCGCCCATCCTCCAACTGCTTGCCAGCAAAAATAAGACGCTGCTGATCTGGTGGAATACCCTCCTTGTCTTGAATCTTAGCCTTTACATTCTCAATAGAATCAGAAGGCTCGACCTCAAGGGTTATGGTTTTGCCAGTAAGAGTTTTTACAAAAATCTGCATGCCGACACCGATATACTGAAACGCATAAAAACACCACCCCTGTAGGCACACTAAAACAAAGGAAAAGTAGTAAATTTATATAATCCTGTTAAAAAATCTGTTAAAATTATTGCTTTTCAAAAATAATGCTTTGCGTTTCATTAGGCCTTATTTTAGCTCAAAAATAGTTATAATAAAAGTGCAATGCTTTGTTTAACGGTCGGTTATGGTAAAGGGCAGCCTTGTGACGTAGCCACTGCTTATTTGCCCTGTAGGTAAGATCTAGGCCGTAGCAGTAGCCCAGCTGAACTGCATAGTGTGCATATAAAAATGACCAGATTCACGCATTTCATCTTTTCAAGGGGAGACTAGGGGAGCCACAACATATTAGACATTTACGCCAAATATATTATAGCAAAGTATATTGCTTTAATTGCCCTCAAAATGTTAAATGTCTAGTTATTTTGTACGGCTAATCGATCTAAAGCTGCTAACGTATTTTTCCTGATAACGTTAAATCATCACCGTTCCCTGGAACTCGATGATGCATTTATTGCAGCGAGTAAAGCAACGTTGCCAACTACCATTTATATTACGATTAAAAGCTTGCAAGCGTCTTAAAATGGTTTTGAAAAAAACTTGAATGAAGGGAGTAGGAGCAATAAAAAAAGTTTTGCTTCATTCCATTAAATTTTTTGTGTAGCAAGAAAGAGTTATGTGTATTTACTTTATTTAGCGTATTACATGATAATGTACTAAAGACTTTCTTACTTTTTGGCTACAACGTTTTTCACATCATTAAGGAGTGCTTATGATTTTAATTTAACTTTTTGCCTACCCATATATAAGACTTTTTAAATTTGTGTTTGCACAATAAAATGTATTGTTTTTATGCTCTGACTTGTTCCAGTATGAGTAACTCTGCAACTCTCATCAAAACTATTAATTTTTCGGAATATTTTATCCAATTCTTTTGTTTTACTTTTCTGATGTCTTTTGTTGTTTTGCTAGCCGCTAGTCAGTGGCGGCAACTTAACGGTGTATGCAATGCCTAAGGACGTGGTAGTTTCTGGTTACAACGAGATCACTATCAATAAGTGGGATGTCAATGCGGCAAAGCATGCCCTAGATGATACGATAAAGGAGGTTCGCTGCGTAGCCTTTTGACCGCCTTTAGATAATGAAGTCACATTATGGGCTACGTGAGAATTTTCGTCTTATTGACATCAGGCTTATGTTATGCACTGCCTCTGTGCTATTCACTTTTATTGCATTAGTTTATGATTACCTGTGCCCGTACCCAGAGTCTCGTCATGTCCTCATCGTTTGCATTGTGTCGTATCCTTTTGAGAATGATAAGTTCCTTTCCGCTCATTATTTATTTGAAGATTATTGTGGAGTGAGCCTGTCTTGCTTGAATGTTGTTTTCTGTTCAGCATCTTTCGTTTGCTTATTAAGTACTTGTTCACACTCACCTTTAGTCTTACTTTTCAAAAGGTTTTTCCCTTATTGGTTTATCGACTACGCACTTATTACTTCCACTATGTCCCATTTTACTGCCTTTTTACTCCGTTCGCTGTTTTGATCCTTGACCTGGGGAAAGATATTTTATTAATACCTCAATTCTCTCTTGGCACGCATACTTTGTTGAAGGATACATATTCTTTGTTGGGATTCAGCCAGACAAAGCGGGTCTTGACCCTCCGAATAAATGGACCTTTGCATCTCAAATCAAAAAGTTCTTTATTTTTTTCTACCAACTCGTTTAGGTACAGTCCGGACTATCGTCTAACCCTCTCTTTCCTCGATGGAATCACTAACAATCAATCAACAGTTGAAGCTATTAAAACAATAGACTGCTTTTTTGATGAGAAGGGTAAATTGTGTAGCGCCCAGCTCGAATCCTTCATACTAAATATTTGCAAGGACATTACCTCAAAAAAGGAGCAGTGACTCCTTTTTGCAAAGAAGTTACTCTGACTTTGGTGTTGGTATTGGTCCATGTTATCTACTGTGGCACAAATTGTGAATAAATTCATTAGTTTTTGCGGCATCTATGTATTTGTTATTCTTGGTGGTTCAGTTCTGGTAAATCGTTGCTTGTCGAAACAATGTTTATGATTATCTTAATTATTTTTGTCTGTAATTTCTTTGGCTGCGTTTTGGTCGTTCGTTTAAACAATGATTTTTTTTTGTTTCTGAAGCTTTCTAGTTTTTCTTTTCAATTAAGTCTTGAAAATTTCCTGCAGGAGCGCTAGTGCTTTCTGATATTGTGTTTTGGGTGTCGCCTTATGCCATTTTTAAAGTCAAGTGAAATGTGCCAATTACGCTTTAACCCTCGATTGGTTTAGTACGCCGTGATGTTTAGAAGACAAGTCAAACATTTCATAACGGTGCTAATGTGGGGTCTTTTCGTTTTTTTTTCGCTGTTCCGGGTTGCTATGATTGTGTTACGCGCTGTTACCTATTGGCATTACGAATAAAAGGTTAGGGAGGTGGGTAGTGTTCACTAATGCACTCGGAAATGAGCGTGTCTCCATTTGTCTGATTTTAACTGCTGAGTATTTGATCAGTGGGCATGGTTACTCACATGGTCAACCCTGCTTTGTCCTACCGCAGGAAACTTGGCACATTGTTGCTCGCATGCAGAGGACATGGTAACTAGCAAATCAGTTAACTTCCGTAGTTGCACACATCCGGCAGGGCAAAATTCTTTGGTTTCGTCTGCTTTCGCCATCTCAAACTTTGTGGCCTTGCGAGACATTAACAAAACAAATAGCAGACACAGTAGTAACCAACCGCTAGGTTATTCGACGTTGGTTAAGCACGGTTAAATGAAAGTGTAAGGCGGATGACATGTATTGGTTTGTGAACTTATTGGCCCCCGGGAATTTGGGCCAGAGGATAGCAAGGCATCAAACGAGTTGCGAGTCTGACTGGTTAGGATTTAACCGTAGCTATCAAGAGAATGTGCTTGACACGCCTTTAGGTGGCAGTATTATAACAGAAAGCGAATAGTTTGGGGATTTTATAGCCCTTTAATTCGACATTCTGGAAAAGAATTTTGCATTCGATGGGTGCAAATGCACAAACCTTGCAAATTTTAGGTGGCTCATTAACGTCAGTTTGGTTGTAGATGTAATACATGGAAGGTATCAGGTGAAAATAAAACAGCTTTTGATATTAATGGTGGATTAAAAGAAAGCGACTGTTCTACCAACGCATTTAGTCATGCTTTCTGTTTCCACTGTCTTCGTTGAGTGGCTGATAAGTTTGTGGTTAGCTTCCTTTAGGAAAAACGACCATTTAATTTAAAAAGGGTGGATCTGACAGATTTTTGCTAAGACTGTATCAATTAAAAGTTAACTAACTGAGTGCTCACTTCTGCACATAGAGCCCACAGACCAGCGGTTTGGACATGAACCAACTAAAGATCTTGGAAATTAAACGGCGTCGGTACGAGGATAAGCAACAAAAGGCCCTGGCAAACGCGGCCATTCGCAGTCCCGTCGAGCGTCCAATCATGTATATCATGAGTGAGCTAATTTTTCCACCCGTCATCCCCATGCACTGACACAGGCTGCCATTCCGGTTGACAATTGCTATTGGTCTTTAAAAACCGATTTTGGGGAAATCATGGAGAACAGTGTTTACGTCGATCAATGATTCCACTGTTTAAGTTTGTTTTTGCTAGAAATCAATATTCATGTTTGCCACAAAATGTGGGCTTCACCTCCCTATTTGAAAGAACTTTTTTAGTCCTACAAATTATATCAGATGGAAAATAATGTTAATTTAATCACGAAACAAGTTTAGGAATTTTTTTATCTTTTTATGTTGCCGTATTTGGTCGGTGAAATCCTTTTTTAAAAAAATAGTTTCAAGAAAGCCCTTTTTTAAGCCTGTTGCCTTCCATCCTAATTCCTGCTTTTTATTCGCAGACAAACGGAACCGTCTGATACAGCAGGAATTCCACCATCATTGGAATACTGAAGGCACTCACAGGAACAGAGTTGAGAGAGTAAGTCTCACTCTCCTGCCTAGTGGCCACAAGGCGTCCAAAATTATTTACAAGTAAGTCGTAAGGAGAACGCATTACTCATCTACGTTGTTGACAATAATTTCCTGTGAAAGATTCTATCATGGTTCATATGTAACATGATCTTTAGTGGATTTTCAAGCCAATGATTTTTTGCGTACAAAGTGGGCAGGAGGAATTCCTATTCAACTTGTGGAATAAGAATGAATAGATTTATTGCATTGCATTGCTGGAGTGGCCGGTTTACGTTGGCACTGTATGAAGTTCAGAGAAAACCCTTTTAGCTGTAGTGCAAGAATATACGAAGTGTTCTATTTTGAGTAAAGATAAAAAGAGCATGATAATACGACCTTGAAGTGTAAATCCTGGCAAACAAGTCCGTTATTGTTAATGCTGTCCAAAGATGAGGTTACTGTGGAGTGGAAAAAAAGTAATATGTATTCTTGACGAGCCTCAGCTGAAGATGCTTTTGCTTTCCTTGGTCTAAAATGTTGTTAGCTTAATGTTTTGCGCCAAAATAACGTTTTGAGCCGACAGTACACCATGATATTCGCGGAAATTTACTGACAACGTCGTTAGTTAACTCCCAACGACGTTTCTACTCAATCGGCATAGTAGCCTTTTTTGTGCCGCAAATATAGAATCCATTTCCTTAACACAAATAACCGTAAAAAACGTCTAGTGAATCATCCTCGTCGGATCATTTGGTTTCTGGTTTAAAAATGGCAATGAATCGGGTTCAGTCACAGTTCGATTCATACAGTATTTTAGTCTTTTAAACTGATAGTTTTACTTTAAGTGCTTCTTACTAAATCCAATTCATTTCCTGACTCCAGTAAGGTTTGTAAAATGAAGGAATGGCTGCCCAATACTTAGCTATGTAGTACTGCTTCAGATTTCTGTACTGATCCCTTTAGCGATGCTCTTTCACCCGATGAGGCACCAGCGCCCCCATCTCCCAAACTTCCAAAGCTCCCGAAGCCACCATCAGCGTATCTGCAGGGGCGCAAGTCTGCTGAAGTAGTGTCATCACGATCACCAAAGCTGACAGATAGCAAAAAAAGGGATAGCGTTATTTTTCAAGCCGTAGAAATCATCTCCGAGTGGTTGGCTGCAGAGCCGTGTTTTGTTGACCCCGAGGTGACCTACGGGGACAAAAATGCGCGTTTTCTGGACACTGTGTTTCAGCGCCTGCACACTTTCAAGACTACTATCAGCTGGGAAGTGATGAAGATGCTGCAGGATGCCAGCAATGCTTGTCGAGAAACTCCTCAATCACTTCTCATAAACAGACTGCCTTTGCAACAGAGCGCTTTAAGCACCCCCACCAGTTGTCCCAAAACTGGCTCGGTAAGTTCAGTGGTGTTTTCTTGTTAATCTAAGGCCTTGAAATGCAGTAATTGAGGTGTACAAGTTTTCTACTTTCCAACTTTTCATGATGTGTTGTTATATTCAACATGAAATAGGATCTGAACTGGGAAAGTGCATAATACTTGGGCAAAATGTCACGGGATTTAAAATTAAAAATGAGAGTTAGTTTATGTAATCGTGCATTGTCGAGCTCTTAAATCCTCCTCTCCATTCTGTTGTGTCATGATAACCTTTTTTATTGACTTTCGCATACTTATTACTAAAGTTATGCTCTTTTGCTGCTACTGTCATTAACACATTAGTACTGGTTCAACTTCATGAAATTTATTACCAATTAGCAGCTTTATCGTACCTTTTCAAAATAAACGAGAATTTGACCTATTGGTGTAATTTCTTATTTTTTAAGGATTTTATTAAAAAACTTTTGAGTTCTGCATACATGAAGGATTTGGCACCACATTCCGACGTGTACAAGCATAAGATATAACCACCATCTATTCTGTATTATGCAGTCGATTTCATGCTACTTAAGGCACCTCTTTTGTATGCTGCTTCGAATTACCTCAAAGAACGCAAAAAACGACCGGTGGCATCACTATCGACTTGCAGAAAGGCTGGGTTCATAAAAGGCGTGGTTGGAAAGTTACGCTTCGAACAAGGGAGCAGGATTTTAGCATTACTGGAGCTTATAGTAACTTCTATTTTTCTTGTATGCAGACGGCCATTGTTCCGTACAGGACCCCAATTTTGGGTGGATTCTCCTCTCCCGCACACAGAAGCTGCACCTCCCGACCAGTAACTCCGTTTCATGTCGACCTTCTGCCGCAAATCAGCCCCTCCGTGGTGGCGGAGGTGCGCAGGGGCTTGGTCAATGCAGTACCCCACCACCCCTGTCAGTACAAAATGAGGTTGGGTAAGACACCCCCTGGTCCCTTCAACGGATGCAGAGGCAGAAGCAATGAAGTTGATCTGGATGCTTCCGATTGGAGACGTCCACCTCGGCGCCAGCTGAAGTTGGAGATGGAAGTGGAGGGTAATTCGGATGATTTCCTAGCCTCTGGAGCATTGCGACACCCCATTTGGGACACACCGGATGAGTGCAAAACCTACTATTCAAATATAGTTATGTTAGAGTAGATTTTTTAACGCTTCACTATTCCTTTAGCTTTCCCATGCCTTTTTGTGTTTGATTTGTTTTATCCTTTACTAAAGAGCTTTGATAATATTATTGCCCTATTTATATTGGAAATACGATATCCTAAATTCGTGCTCAGGATGCGTTTGTCTCAGTTCTCAAAAGTGATCTGCCAGTAAATTAACCGGAATTTACAGTGGGGAATGCGCTAGCCAAATTCTTTGTTTAAGGGATGTTTCATTAACCATTAAGAGATGTTCCACTCAAAAGTGCAAAAAGTAAGCTATTCCCAAGAAGTACACTGCTCCGTTGATCGTTGGAAGGCCAAGTAAATCTTTATATTGGCGTGTCATAAACGTTGCCCCTTCGGCATATTTTAAATGACTTAGCGTGTCACACCCTACAGCGTAAGGGACACAGTTTTGTGAATTTCAAGCTGTTATGCTTAATGCAGACTACGATCAAATCGAACGTTGCTTTGCAAAATAAATAATTTAACTTTAGTAGATTACTTCAGGCATTCTAATTATGTGGTTACTCGTGTTTCTGCATCGATAGTGACTAAAAATGATTCAAACTTTTAAAAACAAGGTTTTGATGTTTACGGAAAAGCGGTAGGTATAAGTGAAAATGCACTACCGTCCTTATACATACGTTGTAACGTGTAAATGGTAATGCGATCTTTTCACGAACCGAAATGTTAAAAAGCGACAAGCAAAAACTTCCAATTGGCAATGAGGGACGTGAAAGTGCAGTGCAAAATGGGAGGAGAAGTCGGAAGCTTGCCAACAAGGTGGCCTTATGTTATGACTTTGTGTTGAGGATTTTGAAAGCTACAACCTTTTTCACCGAAACTGACCTGCAAATGCGATATGCATTGAAGCTACTGCTTTTCACCCTTCACTAGTGCTTTGGTTTACATATCTGACCTATCTGCGTTTCCGACTTCGCTTAGTTAAAAGTGCTCACCCTACGGCGAACATCTTTGAAGTGTATTTAATTAGAGCCTTTAGATAATTTGCTTTTTCGATTTCGGCAGGTGCTTTTATGCTTGATCCCGGATATTGTGGCTTAGTCAGCAGTCATGCAAAGATGGTTCTGTGTAACGTTCAAGATTGAGTAGCAGGAGATACCTGCTACCGCCTTCGATTCAAGATGATTTAAGCAGCATCTAATTTCGGTTGGAAATAAGCTTGAGCCCCTATACCGGGCTAGGAACAAAAACCTATCCTTCTTTAATTATAAATTTATTAAGATTGACCAAAATTGAGCAACGTTGGCAGAAAATTTGCAGCTTTTTTAGTTAGCACGCCTATTAAAACTAGTTAAAGTTAAGAAAATAAGTATCGCGTACTTTCCCCCTTAAGAGGTGGAAATGTTATTTATGCTGTTGAATGCTTGCATAGAGTGGTAAATGAAACTGGTAAAGGCAGGCGAGGTTCTCACCTAGCACTCCATCAGTCTGACTGATTGTCCCCGATTCATTTACACCTCACCGAACCTATATTAGTAGATTTTATTTACACCTGATGAGGAGTTTTTGTGCGTTGCTTCACCAGTCGATTAAGTACTCAACTGGTTTTTTTTGTCAAAAACAAGCGACTATAATCAAAGCAGGCCTTCACTGCAGTTTTAACAAAAATATCAACGAGAGAGCAGTTCCTTGATAGGAAAAATTTTTTCTAGTGACTTTAGATCGTGGCGTACTTTAGAAAATGCAGGGGAGAATGTGAGCTGAGAGTGTAAGATTTTGACAACAGAGTGCCATGCTTTTGATTTTAAGCTTTACACTCATGCTTATTTCTTATGAAATTGCAATGGATTTGATAAAAAGGTTGCTAACTTGGTGGTGCGTCCTAATTTTAGCAGTCCTTTAAAAATAACACTAATAAAGGATTTTAAAGGTGCGATTAATGAGTCGCTTTGCTAAATTTATTTGAATCGGATTATATTCTGGCAGAAAACAGTTCTTAAAAGACACAAATAATATAATATTTAGTTATTGTGCCAGCAACCTCATCCTCTAGCCCCTCCTGAGAGCGGAGTGGGGCAGAAAGTTTGAATAGAATCCGGACTTTATTATTACCTCTGCTTTGAGCTACGCCCAAGATAGTCACGGCATTAGTCACAACGGGAATTTGTCAAACGGAGGAGAGAAGCGATTGCCGATGCCATAGCAACTAACGGAAGCCACACCCGTAGCGGCAATACCTCACCCATTATGTGCTGCAGTCAAATTAGTGGAAATATTTCTATGCGGCAGGAAACGATGGAAATTAGGTTTCACTTCTACATACACGCCTTTTAAATGCTGTAGCAGCTCTAGATTTTTATTCGCAATGAAAATGAATTTTCAACAAAAGGATTGTTGATTACATCCTTGCTCACCTTGCCTTTGAATCTCGTACAGTTTATGCCGTTTTCCCATAATAACTGCGCCAAATTTTTGCTACTAAAGTGAACGTGGTTGCAAAATAGAAAACACTCTGGGCCCTGAAAACGCAATGCATTGGGAGAGGTTTAATAGATTTCTAACACCTCAATCGCAAAGGTGAAGTTCAATTTTTTTTAAATCTCTTGTGTTAATCCCTTCCCGCCAAATGATAGTGTTAAGTTGAACAACTGAAGTAGAGCAATTGTTTTCATAAGTTCATTCCTTCCTGCTAAATGATATGATAAAGTGTTTTTGAAATGAAGTTGTAAACGTAGAATTCGCTTGCAATTTTACTTCGTTGGACCTATAAAAGGGACCAGTGATTAATTTGAAGCTACCAGGAGTTTAAACATTAACTTAATTGACAATACTTCAAAAATGCCAGATAAAAAGAAGACATTTGATTATGGAAAATATGCCTAGGTATCACAGTAAGCGCAGGTTCAATGCTTGAAGGAGAAAATTTAATTCTGGAAGATTGAGTAAAACCCCGAAAATGCAGCAGCACTAGCAACATAAAGTAACACTCCATGGCACGCAGTGCCTTTATTACCGAGAAAAATTTGCACAATGCCAAAATTATCTGCTGCCTTTTTCGGTATGTGCGTGGGGAAATGTTTGGAAAAGTGAATTATTTCACGCGTAATTTCTGGTTTAGAGTGCTATAATAATAATATTGATAAAAAGTGGTTGACTATCAAGCAAAAGTTGACCAATTTTACAAGCAGAAACTATTGGTGCATTTATGGATCCCAAAATGAGCTGAAATGGAGGTTAAGTACTTAATTTGCAATGCTGCAAAAATAGTGATGCATGTCATTCAAAAGTCATGACGTTTGTATTGAATACACAGGTTTGAGAGGTGGGTTCAATTTTAATGAATTCGTGGTAGTAAATTTTGAATTAAAAAAATATGATTAAAGTGGTTCAGTCAATTTCCCTGCTTTAATTAGCTGAATATGCCTGTTGCCGGAAACTGGAGGACTGCATAACGTTGCTTTGGCAAATAAACATCCGTTTCATTGCTTCAGCCATGCCCCAATTTCAAATGGGCAATTTCAGTCTCAATGTCTCACAAGTCGGTGGCATTTCTTTCTTCTAAAATAGGGAGGATCGTGACTGGATAAGCCTTCCTTAATTCATTAATAAAGAACCTTCCTTCTTAAATTGGCCTTGATTGGAGTACTGGTGAAAGGAACGGTGCCATTAAGCGGCACCAACTACTGACTTCATTCCCAAAATAGTGCACAAAATCCTCGACATTCCAACTTGCGTCTAAACATGGCTTCTAGTTTTACGCGAAGAACATTGGCCTTAAAAGTACGTAGGCAAATATTATTTTATTCGTGTAAGCAAAACTTTTATGAGCCAAATTATCATAAAATGGATTGGCTAATTTACCCAATTAATTATTAATAAATTTAAGTGAAAAATGTCAGTGTCTTACCTTATTTTGTTGCGCCTCAAATACAAAATATGGGTTACAAGTAATAACCAGAAGGGATGAATACAAGGTGAAATGCGAATGATTTGTACCTGAAAATCCTTAACTTCAATTGAAATTCATTCCCAGGAAGTACTCGAGGACAACTGGAAGTCGTGCGAAGAGAAGCGTCAAGATGCAATGCACGAGCAAATTTGCTTCGTGGTCCTCGGTGCGCCGTGCGAGGCCGGCAATCATTAAAGTCGCGGTGGCACGCGCTTTGAACGGAGGCGCTATGCCTACTTAACCCTTCACACACACAGTACAGACCTGGATGCACAAATCAGGGAGTGGAAAAATATTCTGTAGTACCGTGACAATGGGTAGACATAACACCCTTAACGTAATGCTGTTGCGGCACTAGAGGGGCCCATACCTGGTACTAGCTAAATTCTGTGGTAACTGAACTTTTACGATCTGTGATAGAAAGGCCATTAACCCATGACAGAAATAAGAGCAATAAAATAATCAGGTATTGTGGCTATCACCACAGTAAATTAGAAGTTTACGGTAGTCATACTGTGCCTTAATAAAATTCTAATCAGTAATATTTAAATTATATAGTATTCCCTTGTAAAAGAACGGGGCTAGATAAGCAGAGAAGCAGCTCACGGATCCAGGAAATATTTTATTGCCTTTTTGAAGGTATGAGAAGGTACTTTTTACAGAATATAAAGGTAAACTTTAAACTATTGCGTCAAATTCCCCTTTTGATTGAAATTTGAGACCGTGTTTAGAGACGTATACGGAACTAAAGCCTACAATTGGGTTTTTCAGCATTCGCTTCAAAATAATACATTACACAGTGCCAGCTTTACTGCGTAACACGCCGCAACCGTGAGAGATACTGCTTCGTTTTGTGCGCTTTCGTGTGACTGCATGCCTCCTGGCTGCGTGACCTACTTTGAAGGGCATCAGTCAGCAATTGAAAGTTTGCTCCTTTTTTTCATTGCATTCACTTCCTTCCTTACCAGTGGAGTGTAATGGCTACGACGAAAGAGTTTGTTTTTTGATCGATGTTTACACTGCATTGTCTATTGTGGGCCAAGAGCAAGCCAATAAACCTAGGCCTAAATACTATCCACTGAACCTCTAAGTCCCCCATTTCCTGCAAGAGAAAGCTGTAATGTGATGCTATAAAAAAATAGCTGTTTTGTTGGAATAAAGTGAGCCAAGGAGAAATTATTTGTAATAATCTTAGTAGTGAATAAACCCACCTAGTTACCAATTCCAATGAAACGGATCTAGCCGCATAAAGCATGAATTGGTAAGTCTTCCAGAATTACTTATTCGATTGGACAGTTTAATTTTTGCCTCTAATTGCACCATGAATTATAATCTTTAGTGATTTCGAGCCAATGAGTGAGCATCAAGACTGTTCATTACAAACTACGCTTGAGTAATTTACTGATGAAGAAGGCTGGTAGGAGATTCATTGATCAAATCAACCAACTATCTTTCTGCTTCCCGTTTGCAATGCCTTTAGTTTCGCTAGCAGACAGTTTGGCAGTTACACTTCCCTTAGGATAGAGGACCCAATTCGTTTTGGTTTTCTTGTATTCCCCTTTACGATAATAGCCCAGTTTATTACGCCAATGGCGGATGCAATCCAGACACTAAATGAAGATAGCACTGATCGACGTAAAAATCCTGCAAACAGACTATAATTCACAAATTACTATTGCGTAGAAATTTTTTACAATGCATTGTTTTTGCTAAATTATAGAATTCATCGAATTGTGCATCAAGTGAAACTATAATTGATAGGACTTTTCTTTTTACAAATATGCTTATTAAAATGCCTTTTTGTTCTGGAGACAAAAAAGGACAACTAATGCAATCTCTTTACGCTTGACATGACTACTATCCACGATCAAATGATGAGCTAGGTGAAGAATAATCGCAATAATTGTGAAGACTTCATTGCTGCCCAATGGTGCACACGGAAAAGTTTGCAAACGAGTTTCGAATGTTCTAAAACAGCCCATTCTACAATACAATGATACCTACTCGGTACATAGCAAACTTGTAATCATGATTAGCAATACCGAGATAATCATATCGACAGTCTCACACTACAGGACGCATTTCATTCCATTGCATACTTTTTTGTTCCGGAAGGGCCACATTTATTTTGCAACCCAAATTCCTAAATAAGCCAAAGCCACGGCCCCACGAAGGCGGATAGTGGCCTTTGGGAGCTGATTAATACCTACATGGCTGCCTGTGTTTCCTTTTCTTCGGCAGAATGTGGAGGCAATGGTCAAATTGTTACTTTTGGACGTTCTTTTAAATTCTCTAATTATGATATCCTCTGTTTGTACATGAAGCAAGTTATTTGCTTCATCATAGCTGCTTAACCCCTAATTCTAAGGAATTAGGGATGAGTAATTAAAGGATTGAATGAAAAGTAGAAACATGAGTTAAGCTTCGGATTATACCTCTTTTGGGCAGATATAAATTCAAGAAGTTTCACATTGTTATTTCATTATGCATGGAAGAGGCTGAGGAGGTAAAGTATTTTGTTAGCAATTTACCTAAGGATCACTATTTTATTCGACATTTATTCCGACTAAACGATGTACTTTTCCTTTTTGCTCTTAGATTAATTGAGGAAATATCATTTGTCTTTACACCTAAGTCTTCCTTAACTGATAGAATATGCGTGCAACTGACTTACACGACCAATAGGCCAGGGTGAGGAGAGCCAGTTGTGGAGCTAGAAGACATGGGTGTCACTGGGGCTGGGCACAAGAATGCACATCCATTCATTCATCCATCCAAACTTCGTCGATTGTTTCTGATTAGTGTTTTGCTTAAAGCCAGCGTTGTACCAAAACACAATGAGCTTCGCCTATTGTAAAGTTATGGTAATTTTGAAAACACCTTATATTATTAGGAAACGACTGGGTACTGTACTTTAATCACTACCATCAATCACGAGACGCAAACTAATTTTGAAACTTCAAAGACAGTCCAAAGTATCTGGATTTGTTGTAGTATTGGCAGCAATCTCTCTTAGCAACCTGACAGGTCCTTGCCACTTTTTTGGTTTTGCAACTGAGAGTAAAAATAATCTCAATAAGCAGTGTTAAACGTCGGAAACAGTTTTATATTTCTAACTTACGAAATCAATGAGGCCGCGAACGCTTTGTTTGCGCTAACTGTGGATTACTGAAAACTTGGAGCATAGCGGCAAGAGACTACATTTGCTAATATCATTTGTACGGAGTGCGATTGATGCAGGTTAATTTCACAACTTGGAAATGGTGGAATGCACTAAACTGAACTGCCAACTGCTTTCAAAGTGTGCACTACGCAAGCAGAAACGTCAGATTTCAAGTTGCCTTACAAGCTTAGTCATGAGGGCAGTAACAGAAATATCTAAATTTTCTACTGTTTCAAGTAAAGGGGAGGCTCTAATTACCCCATTTTACAATATTTTTTACATTTCAAGCTGCATTGATTGAATGGTGTACCAATAAAATGCACCCTCGTTGCGCGTGTGTATAGAATTACTGCCATCTTTCGCGGGAAAAGGCCACTTATCTAATGCAAAGCAATTTAGTTCAGAAAACTTTTCCCAACTAAATAATACGAATGATAAAATGCTTTAAATTCGCAGAACCTGTATTCATCAACACTTACAGTAATTGGATTTGTTATCATCTGCCGCAGGCATGATCTTTCGAAACCATTGCTTCTCGGCTTGCATTCGCACCAAGCTGTACTTTCGGCGCTTCAAGCCATTCAACAGGATTCGCTCTATTAGCGCAATCATCCTTGCAAAAGCAACGGCAACAAGCAGTTGTTATTTCCACACTTTATTATCCGGTTTTTAGTACTTCTTTCCATAAACACTGACAATGTTGGTATTTATTATCGAATTAAAAAACTGCTGGAGTGAATTGTCCCCGTTCGGAATTAATAAAACATGGCAATCACACTTTATTTCCCAATTAGCAGGAAGAAGTGCGCAACTTAGCTGGTTTCACAATAGGGCATTTACTTTTGGAATAATTAGCGTGAGTTAGTGGCACAACCCGGCACTACTTCCACCCATCCCTTTAAAAGGCGATTTTAGGTGTAAATTTATGAAGGAATTAATAACATCTGCTAACTATTTTCATTAAAAGAGACCGATCAACACAGAAGTACGACCTTTTTTATTTCGACCAGCATACCCCAACTGAACTGTTACCCAAATCAGGAAGTGGAAAAAATAAGACTTAAGGGGAAGTTTATTAGGTGGGAGTGTAATCATAGGATCTTACAATTGGGCAAGTTAGTAATAGACATTTTTAGTATCAGCATAATAGCAGTTTAGAATAATTAATAAGTTGATATTATGCGGAATTTTTTAATGTTTCTGTCGAGTTATATATTGCTTCCCAATTACAAAGTGTAAATTTCCGTTTTCACCTTCCCCCCTTTGGGTCACCGGATGTTTCCTGAAAATCTTCCCAAAGAAGAACTCAAATATTTTATTTAGGGTTGGGAAACGACTTTCTCATTAATGAAAATGAATCACTGTAAGGTGAAAGTCCTCTCCTCCAATTAATCATTCTCAATACTATGTCATATTAACTCTATGCAGCTTAATTACCATAAATTACTAGTTATGCGGCTTAAAGATGCCTTCTGCATTCGTTGAAAATAAGGTTTTGATTTTTTTGCAGATCGGAATTACCAACTTTGGGAATACCTTATTTCCCTCCTCTTAAAAACTGAGTACAAAATCTTAAACCGAGACAAAAGACAGTTAAATAGAGTACACTGAGTCTGCAAATAGGGAGAAGTTGAACAGTAAACCCTGTCATCAGACAGAAACTGTTCCTGTTCTAGCTCCTGTAAGGTGTAAAATAAAACTTCTTGATCCTAATGATAGTGCCCAATTGAAAAACAGGGACTTTTGTGAGGCAAATACTACTTGCGAAAGATTAATTAGTTAAATTTCAAGAATGCTGGGTTGTGCAACTTGGGAGTAACATTTTTGATTAATCCCCATTGATAAAAGATCGAAACACTGACTTATCGAGATTCCTACAAACGTCACTATGATACGTCTAAGTGGAGCATCGGTAGAGTAAGGTAGCCTTTTGCCAAGAGAAACCGAAATGGAGTCTTTAATTTAGCCTGTAGCATAATTCTTAAAATTGAAACCACGCATTTTAGTTAGTCAATAGCTTAAGAAGCACATTAATGACTCGCTGATACATCTGCTAGTAAAGGTGCCTTCAGACCTGTCTAACCAATGTTAAATGAAAAACCTGTGCTTATTTTAAGAGTAAACAGCAGCACCCCTACACAATAGTGAAATAAAACAGTTTATGGGGTTTTTGAATCTTCCTCTTACCATTTTTTTTTGCTTATGTCAGGAATTATAAATCCGGAATTGATAAGTGAGTTGCTGCTCAATGAATTTGGCCACCTTAAAGTCACATTTATGCTTAACTCTACCAAGGGCCAGTGCTGGAGGGGACAATGTGAGGAGAGGCTATTTTTATTCGTCAATTATTCTATTTATTATTCTCTTCTTTAGTCTTATCCTGACTTGAGATCTTACAATAGCTCTCACCAAGCTGACATTTACTGAAGCACAAAACTGTCAGCCCCTTACTCATTCCCTAAACGTGAGTTAGATGTGAGAACAACTTCACCAGCAAAACAAAACAAAGCATTTCTGTCAGTGGAAGTTTTTGCGAGTGACTCATTAAAATAAGAGTTTTGGGTAAATAAATTACAAGAGAATTGAAATTGTATGTAAACGTTCAATTGGGAGATGCTGATTTGGAAGCAAACCGCCGCGAATCAGAAATTATTAAGCTGATAGCATGTGGCTCTCCTAGCATTCTGCGAAGTAATGGCACTGAATCGAGGCTTACTTTAGTGTCAATTTCTTCGTCGTTGCATGAAGGTAAGATTGACAAACCCGCTTCATTTACTTCAAAAAATCTCACCAATTTTGCACCTTATTAGGTTTAGACTCAAATGCATTCGCGGGTAGGAAATCAGAGTCACTCTGATCTAAACACCCTAAGAAAATGTGACTGCATTGTTTAGCAGCCAGTTACACGAAGATCTCTAGCTGAAGAAATGTGCCCAATTTACCCCTTATGCACACAGGATTCACAAGGACTGACATTTTGGCGCGGCCTCCATCCTTAGGCGTGTAGCTGAGCTCAGCTCTCATTGGTTTAATGCAAACACGGTGCCGTTAAAGTTAATTGGTTGGGCTTTTAACCGAAAATCGGGTAGCGGCTGGTTGAAGACAAATGCTTTATTGAGAATTCCGATGGTATCCTATCTTTGTGTGCTAAGATTAGCATTGAAAACATCTTCTATATCATAACCAGGTTACATTTAGCTAGAAGCTGACACAAGTCAATCTAAGGATAACCGTAGTCCATTAGGGACGATTCAATTAAGATATTTACAAAACAGATGCAGTTAACTATCGAAGTAGCGCAACTCAAATGATTACTATAGACCGAACTTTATTCAACAGTAATTTTTTGTGTAGATAAGTTTTGTATTAGTTAGTGCAAGTTAGCGATGCAATCTCAGGTAGATAAGAGTAACGCTATCTTCCAGACACCACGTCAACTAATTTTACATCTATCGAGATAAAGCAAGTGTAACAAGTATGTGGGAGTTCTTCTTAACTGCAAACTAAATGGTACTTTTGTGACTAGATTGCGTTCTGATTTTCTGCGTGCATCGCTCCAGATCACAACTGCTCTTCACCCTTGCAGAGGAAAGTTTGCAATATCCCAAAACGCATAGAATTTACCGAATCCAGACAATACTACATTCTCCGTTCCCGTAAATCACATACGATATTCCAAATGGTGAAAAAAAAGGTGCTTCAGTTATACTCAGTTCTGGAAATGAATTGCAGACGGTAGGCCTCAGCCGCCATAAACAGAATTACCTTTAAGGAGATAGTATGGTGACCGAGTGCATAAATCATCCCAGCGGGGATATTATCCCACCGCCACGTCGCGATTGGGCCCTGGACATGCACCTACTAAACCATTGGTAGAGTAGTGAGGACATGTGAACGCCAGTAATGCAGAAAAGGTGCACTTTTACTGAGGACCGTCACAACGATTCCGTGTAGGCCATAGAGACAAAGTGAAAACACGTGAACATTGACCGATTCATACAACTAGACAATCTTTATGTTTGATAAGTAAGAAAAGGTGGAGTAATAATGAGATGAGAGCGTAAATGTATGGATCTATTTGAAATATAAAAAAGGCAAAGAAGAACAAGAGTAAAATAAGAAGACATTATAGGTAAGAGAAAACACGCCGCAGTAGGATAAGGTTCGTTCACAGCCTTTTACAGAGTAAAGGTGGGGGAATAAAAATCAAGCACAAGATGTAGCTTTTCCTGGGTACGCGTCTATACCACCTTATTTTTGATGAGAATTAATTCAAGCTGGAGTTGAAATGCATGAATACTACCACAACCACTAGCCTTCTACTCATCCTGCTGCTGTTCGCTATTCACAATCTCATGATAAACCTTCTTGGCGAGGATGTCACCCGTAAAGTAGGTCTGCGTGCCCGAAGACACAAAATTTCCCATCGCCACAGATGCGGGCAGGCAAGAGGAGATACTGGGGATGTCTGACATGGTGTTCAAGTCGGAACTAGTGTTGTCATCACTCTGGTCACCTTCCACGATATCGGCACCTCTGGGCGAAGACTTGAGATCTTTTGTACCACCGCAGGCAACTTTTCCGCCGTCGCTGATGTTGTTGACTTCGCCCTCGCTATCATCGAGACCTTCGGGTTCCTGCAAGACGAGGAGTTTATCAGAACTGCCGACGTCCAGACGTACGATGTTGAACTCGGAGTTGTTGAGGAGGCTCTCGAGTCCAGTTGAGACGGAGGAAGAGGGAGGTTTCTGTACGGTAGCGTCCTGTACACCCGAGTCGGAGTTGCCCTCCGAGGGGGTGCTGGAAGCAATGGAAGAGGAGTAATCGCATACTTGCGACGTCAATGAAGAAGCCAAACCCAGCTCCGTGAGTTGCGCAGCCAGGATGTCTGTCTCCTTCCATACGCGCGTCGCCCGCCACTTGGCGCGTGACTCCTTTGGCGCCAGAACAGCGTTGAAACACAGCGTCTCGCCCACCTAAGTGGTCAAAGTAGGTTTTGAATGGACTGACAATGGGTAGCGTACAAATGCTGCCAGGGTAAAGAAACGAATTTAATTTAGTATCATACTAGTCCTCCAAACAATAGTGACTCGGTTTACAAGAAAGACGCCAAGTATCATGAAAAACACAAGACGGATTTCAAGCCAATGATATTAGTAATAGATGTCAAATGCAGAGCAAACGGAATCGTCAGGTCTAGGTTGAATTAAGGATAACCTATTACCGTATAAGTTAAAAAATTTGCAGTTTTTGGGCACATATAATCTGGAGAATTAACCAAAGCTGGAGTGGTTGTAAGTGGATGAAACCACTAGGAGTTTGCTATATTCCGATGAAAGAGTTTAAAATACGCACTTGAGTAATAAAACTCTTCATATTTAATCATGTACCATAAATTCGCGGATCAGCATATTTAATGGCAGATAGAACTGCAAATAAGTAACTTGGAAATAACAAATTTCGCATAAATTCAGTCTTTTATAACTTACCTGGAAGCATAAAACTAGTAACGTTATTAATTTTTTCGCAGTACGAAATAAAATAATTACAAAGTGGTATTTTGTGCAAATTAGTCATCAAACTAGTGATACAATCAAATTTTAGTATTGAGAAAATGAAAAAGCTATTCACCGCAAAGTGTTTTGTCAAATTTTCGACATGCTTGAATAAAGACCGGTCGAAAAAAACATGCTCATGTTGACCCAGGTCAATAATCCCCCAGGATCTCGAGATGCAATAGGCTATGCCCTTCTTGTTTATGAGCGAGATGCTTCTGCTGTTAGCACTCGCAGAGTCGGAGATGATAAATGTGGTGCTCGCCTTATCCAGCACCTTATTCTTGCACATAATTTGGTCGATTTCAAAGAGTTGGTTGAACTTCTCCAAGAACTCCGTTACCTCGATTCGAGTCAGGCCCACAGAATTACGAATGTTGACAGGAGCAGACACAAACTCCTGCATCAGGTCATCTAATAATACTCCACAATCTTTAGTGCCTCCCAACTTTTCGATGGCTTGGCGCAACCACATGGCCGCTGCATAATCGACGAGAGATATGAGGATGGTCTGAGAGGAGTTTAGTTGCTCTGACATCAGAGTCTGCTGTGGCAAGTTTTGCACTGATTGAGAGGAGTATACGCTTACGTTCGAATACTCTGACGTCTCATTTTTGCTTTGTGGCAGGGAACAAATGCCAGAAGAAACATACATTGAGAGGGGACGATTTCGTCTGCTGCCGTTTTGACGAATTTGAGTGCTCTGGCGAGAAAGATAGTTCAGCCTCACCTCATCACGCAGGCTAACTAAATCTCCTTGCACTTCAAAGATGCGCGGATGTCTCAGAAGAAAGTACAAAAAGTCGGACTGGGGTCCTACAACAGCTCGAATGTTGGCAGAGGCCTGAGAAAGGTGCCCTGCCAGACTCTTGATTGGAACCCAAGGTTCATTGCGGCGGCTGATCTGTCTTTGAAAGTACTTTACAGCTTCAGCTTCTGCAGTGAAATCTTGGGCATGGAGGATTCGCGGCGGTGGCGGTAGGGGACCAACATGAACTTGAGTAAGAGGAAAAACTGGGTTAAAATCATTTCTATAATAAGCGATCGAGTCAATCGCCTGAGTGTCCTTAAGAAAGACATAGTTATTTTGAACTCCAAACAACATGGATTGAGAGTGCACGAATGCCTCAAAGTCTGGAAAATTATCCCACGTATGCGGAAACTGCATAAGGAAATATTGCCAGACATCTTCAAGAGGGAGAGTACCATTGGCTTGTATAAGAATTTCCATTAGATATAAGGAATAGATCTCAGCCATGACTAATCTATGTAGGTATTCCAGTAAAGTGCAACACTCACAGGCGCGCAGCAGAAGGGAGCACGACCACACCCAACCAAGTTATCGCGATACACGCCAATTTGATTGGTTGGGTGCGGCGAACATTAAATGGAACGTGGAAACAACAGAATCATGAGACACTTTAAAAGGATAAAAATATTAGTGCACCATGCAGGTGCAAATGATATAAAATATTTATTAACTGCGTTTGTGGCAAGACTTGTAGCAATTGCACAGGATTACAAGCCCGATATTGACATCCTCTTTATTGCCGAAATCTTAAAGGAAATTATTAAAAATCAGAGCAACTTTTTGCCTGTTTGTAGCTAGATGCAAGATGGGTTAAATATAAAGGTCTCATCCTTTAAATGGCTAGAACCAGATTACCAACTTCCTCCATTATTAAGCAGTAACTATGTTTTCTTTCGCTGCATTTTGAAGCGATTTTCCCATAAGTTATCAAACCTGACTGCCAAGACTCTGGTAGAATTTAAAGTAATCTACATACAAATGGTGTAATACGATAGTGGCTTATCCCTCGGTTCTAGTGAGGCGCCACATTTGCACTTTGAATTAGCCCCCTTGTACCTCGCTGGGTGGGCTGGCCTTTCCGGCCATGCCAATAGCCCAGACACCTTCTCCGTGTTGAATATGTATATTCTGCCCGAGTATTGTGTCTTCTTTTGTCTTAAGGGAGTCTCGGGACGCTACATTGGTGGCAACGGAAAGCGAACCCTTACTCAAATCTGCTTTTAAGTCAGTGTTCTTGCATCTATCTACGGACACGCATGATGGCTGACGCATTCCCCCGTCCTGAATTAAATCCCTAAAGCGGACGAAACCTTAGATCCAGTCAAGCCGCAAAGAGGGATCAGTGACGTTGTGTTCAAGTACCCCCTCAGTTGCGCACTAATTTGGTGACTGGCACGGTCGGCTCGTGGGTGCTTCTTTACTGCACCGACTACGTAGTAATGGCTGACGCAATAAGTTGACCTGCGGGAGCGCCGGGGACGACGCTCAAAAGAGGAGGGAGGCTGTGTAGTAGGATAGTGGTTTATCCCTCGGTTCTGGTGAGGCGCCACTTTTGTACTTTGGATTCGCTCCCTTGTATCTCGCTGGGTGGGCTGGCCTTTTGGGCCATGCCAATATCCAAGACACCTTCTCCGTGCTAAATATATATGTTCTGCATGAGTATTGTGTCTTCTTTCGCCTTCAGGGAGTCTCGAAACGCTACAAATGGTGTGCTGATTTGTTGTTTCATTTGACTGTGCATTAGTCCACCCAAATACTTTATTTTCTTCGTGGCGCACTTCACTCCATGACATAGGATTCAGACTGTTTTAATAGCCCATTAGCTTTTCTACATAATGGTACCACGGATTCTTCTAAACCACTTTGTCTTATGGTGACTTAAGGGAGGCCCTGGAGGGCCACCAGAGATCGCCAGAGCTTCCCCAATTTCGTCACAAGACAAGGTGTTATGGAGGGGGGTTGGTTGTAAAAGCGATTAAAGAAAAACAATATTGCGCGGAGTTCCAGCTCAAGGAGTTGAGAATTTTGCATTAGACATAAAATAAAAATGTCGCAGTGTCACATGATTTGTTGAAGAAACAACTAATAATATGCCTGACGGTTTTGAGATTGCAGACATAATGCTTTGACGGAATATGTATATGACAAAAAGAAGGTATTTAAGCTACTGGCGTAGCCTAAAAGCCAACCCACCCTGCGTGGTAAATGATTAGGTCAAAAGCATCTCCTTACTTAAACTTGGAGATACACAACCATCTTCTTAAAATGCCCCACTTACAGCATTATGGTTTTAAAAATAGGTAGTTACAACAATTTTCCCGCGTTTAATACCATAATTTGACCACCAGTAATTGATTCACTAAAGTTCGAATGAGTAAGAAGGCAAAAATAAATAACAGGCTGCTATTATGTTTTGCTGTTTTTTTTTAATAAACCAGGCACATAGTGAGAGCAGGAGAAGTGATAATTTTAGATCCCATCCAAAACAGACTTTTTCGTTGTAATATCAATGTAGCTAAATATTAATAAAGAACCTCTACTCTTATAAACACCGGAGTAATAGATTTGGCATGGATTATACTCAGATCGATATTAATGTTACTCAAACAATTCCATTTGTGTTTTGTTTAATTAATCCGACAATTGTTAAAAGTCACAGGATCTTGTAACTTTGTGTATGTATTATCGTGTTCAAGTTTTTAACTATTGTGCAGACTGAACGTCTTTGTGTTTTAAAGTAAAAATTTGTAAATGTATCTCTTTATGTTGTAGGCCATATAAAATGCCAGGATGTGTATGCATCGGTTGTGGTCAAAAGTGTTTGATCCCGTTTTATCAGCTGAAGGACGGATTTTTTCATCCTGACTGTTTTCGATGTTCTGGTACCCTCACATTTAATTCCATGTAATTCCGACTATAGTTTGCAATGTAGATCTTCACAACAAGCCCTATTTCCTGTTGTCGGGTAAACTTGTTTGCTACGATGACATAAAAGCTGCATGCTGTCGCACATGTCAGTCAATCATCAGAGGAGACCGGATAATAACCCAGTTTGGAGACTTTCATAAGGAATGCTTTCAGTGTTCAAGGTGTGGGTACGTTGGATTAAATGAAATTAGTGAGTAGGATCAACTTTACGCCCGCTTCGAAGTTCTACATCGGAGGGCGAAAGTTCTTTTGCCATGAATGCCGCCTCTCACTCAAACGCAGCAGCCACTCTAGGAAAGTCAAAGCTACGAATGAAGCGAAAGATTTGTCAGGTAAAACTTATCTTTTAATAGACGTCAGTTTAAGTCATTCACTTTTGTTAGCAAACCAAGGTACGTGTTACAATGCAAGTAGTTGTCGGGCAAATGATTTAATCATTTTTATTAGTTTGTCCGAAGTAGAAGTACAATTGCACCGAAGTCAGGCGTTTTTTCGTCTTATTTGTCTAGCAGATTTCCAAATGATTACATAAATCTTTTGGTGTTTACTTCTAGAAGTTAGGAAGAAAATTGAGCAGTACGTAAAGGTAATGCAAAGTTCAAATTCATGGTTCTATTTGAGGCAATGTTGTCTCATGTCTTATAACTTTTCAGGAATCAAGTATACCCATACCAAAACATTTTAACGAAGAGTTGAGGATCAGGTTAGCAGGTACCAATTTATTCGATTACGCATTTGTTATTTAATAACCGAAGTTACCGTTATAGTGTTGATGCTTTTGTAATAATCATGCCAATTTCGATTGTTCAGAAGTGGGTCAATCAGAAGCACTTGATTTTTATCTGCAAGTAAAAAGAAATATTTTAAGATATTTCTTTGTTGCTCGACAGACTTATATATTGATTAAAATAATCGTATCTGGCAAAAACTTGTGTGACCTATGTTTAAAAGTTTAGCCCATTGTGGCTCAATCCATTGTAGTATTGACTGTCTTACTTAGGCATACTGAAGTGTACAATTGTCCTCTATCTTTCTTTATACGATAACCACCAACATCTGCATTTTGAGGCCTTCAGGCCGATTGTTTTTTCTTTCACTTTAGATGGATTCTAAAATCCCTTCTGTTGCTGCGGAACGGGATGTTATTACACTTTAAGTCTCTAAGATTGTTTGTCGAGTAAACGGTCGTGTAATTGCCCAGCATTATTAGTCGTTTGAAGTCGCGTTCGTTAAATGATGCTTTACGTGTTCTCATCCATTTCATTATTCAAAGTGATGCATTCCAATTATTGCTACTTTTACAGGGAAGTAATGGCACACTGAATTGAGCTCATTAAAGCGCGTGTTTGCAAGTTTGGTAAAACTCTTCGATAATAATGCTTCACATTTGTTTTATTAAACTGGTATGTCTAAAGGGGTCGAGTAGTTCAAGGAAATTGACACGGTCCTGCTGCTGAAAAGTACACCTCTTTATGGGCGAGAGCCAACCTCTTCTTTTAAGTAAAGCATTTATCATTGAAATAATGATCAGCTTGCCTTCGTATTCTTAAGAAATACGAATCATTGTGTTAGTTTTATAGACTTAATACCATCTAGGCATGTCTTTATCTGCAAGGATGCTATCTACCCCACATTTCAGCAAATAGGGCTAATATCACTCCCATATTTTGAAGCATTTTTTAACACCATAGAAATCGGTCGCAAATCGAGTGATAAAGTGTTATTTGAAAACGCCATATTGAAGCGATTGTGAGATACTTCTTTTAAAAATACTTAGCATTAAGTGCTCGATGCCCCCTAGTATTGTACAAGCTCTTGTAATTTTAGCTCAATTTAAGGCTGTAGAACGGCACGTGGTCACCAGTTCTCGCTGTGAAAGTGCTGCCTATGGAACGGATGATGACGAAAAAGAGGCTAATTCTACTTCAGATTCACTGAAATTGAAACAAGAGGAGCAGAAAAAGGAGTCGCAGAATGTAGAGTTAGGGGCTTCCTCACCACCACCTAAACCCAAACGCCTGAAGAAGCCATCGGTTTGTATACCCAATCCTTCTACAGGTACTAATCGAATGCCTCCAGTTGCAGTGGGCCTCTCTCCAAAGCGTGGATCTTGTTCACCTCAGTCTCCATCGTGCTCCGATCAGGAACTCAGTCAGGTAGAATTAAGTGGTCGTACTTCCATCAGCAAGTGTTCAACTCTAAGTAAATCGCGGATCTCCAAAGATCCCATTTTAAGTGACAGAGAGGAAATTTTGCAGTCACCTGCTACCAGTTCAAACTCTCCACTACCTGTTCCTTCACCCCTATTCAACAATAATCAAAAACCTTCACAAGAATTGAAATCAGTTTTATCGAAGAGAGGGTCAGAATCGAAACAGCAATTGACACAGACGACTCATGGGAGAGCCAACGTCAACGCCTTGGTCATGGTAAAACCTTATCAACCGTACATATTTAATATGTAACCTCAACAACCAAAACGCTTGTTTTATTGTCAACTGGATATCATAATGTGACTTGGGATTCCCAGGAATCGCGTTAATTTACCGCACCGGTGCTTTGTAAAGGGAGGCGCCAGTAAAGTACATTACGAGATTACCCCCTTACTTTTCCTAGGCTTACGAGAAAATCTCAGCTCAGGCCAACGAGCATCCTGAATCTGGTGCTTCTACAGCGGATCAAAACTCGACAAAGCTCTGGGTAGAAGAAATCGAGGGTCCAAAGGTAAAGTCACGTGAATCCCAACCAATCTCCAAACTACCACTTCAAGCTCTCTCCGAACCAATTTCTCCAATTTCACCAACACGTTTCGTGCAAGAACCCAGAACAGATAGAGGCGTTAGATGGGCATTCGCGTCGACAATGCGTGCGTACCACCACGTGACTAATCCAAATGCCCCCCAGAGTTAAAATCAAGCATACAACCCAAAACTTGACGCCTCACCAATTTTTAGGTTTCGGAGGCACGCTACTGTTGCTCATCCTCAGCATCGTTGCAATCCCTATTTCGACCCTACTCTGTTTCCAGAACTGGATGACAAAGCTGGTGCCAGAAGATCCGATCAGTCTGCGGTCCCTCGGTATAGAGATAATTGACGACGCCACACGGCCAAAGCCGTCTGACTAACAAGCAGATCCGGGGCTCCGAGGCACAGACCCTTCCGCTAATAAACACATCAGACACCGATACTTCCCTTGCATATTGGCTCCAGTAGAGGAGGGACAGACTTAGGCAACAGACCGACAAAGACCTGACGTAACAACACAGCAAGCAGGAGCATGCGCCCATAAACGCAGAACACGTGATTGACCATCGAAGTAGAAAACAAATCAGACGCCTCTCCCCTCCGGAAAATCCACGCCTACAGAACCCCACTTATCTCTAAAGCCACGACAGCTAACCGTTTAGTGTGCACGTAAAACAAGCTACATTATGCAAAAGCAGTTTAACAGAACCTTAAAAAGAACCGAAACAGACACCTAGCCGGTCGTATCTATTATTAGATTATTCTTCATCATCAGTCTCCTCTGTATCAAAGTTGAAGAACTTCAACTGATAGGCAACCTTGCTTGTGGCGATGACGTGAAGATAGTCGCGAAGGTTGTGAAGCTTTAGAAATCGCTTCGTAAGGTACTTCAGATACCTGAGGGGGTTAGCTCAACTACAAATCGCCCACCTCTTTGAGAAGGGAATCGACGAGGTCACATGTATGGTAGACTTGTCGCGCTCCACGTGCACGTTCTTGCCCAAATTCTTGACTTTGCCATTCACTTTAATGTGTTCCCTCAGATACCTCTCCTAGAAACGCCAGATAGCACATGATTAGGGAAGGTGGCCCTAATCTGCAGCGAGACACTGCAAGTGCCACAGTTTAGGACTTACGAAGAAAGCAAAGTCGATAATATCCTTTTCGATGACTTCAGCAGAACACTCAATGGTAAACCTCAAAGGTTGCTTTTTGGTAGGCCCTTTTGGAACTGGCTTCTTCGCAGCTTTGGCGACCATGCCGGAACGACACCCCACCAAAAGCAGTTTTGACGCCCAGGCAATTAAAACAAAAGTTTTCCGAAAAATGGTTTCAAGGATATTCAAAACGCTGACATAACTTTTGTCTGGTACTGCAGTTTGCCTTGTGATTTTACTAGATCTAAAAGTGAAATATCAAAAGTAAACTGTTTGTGCAAAATATAGTAATGCTCTCATATTTGAAGCTGATAGTTAAATGACTATGATATGCATTCATTCTACTTTTATATAATTATGAGAAATATCGATAGAACCTGGTAAATATGCGTTTTGGGAGACATCCACTTCTCTTCCTATATTCGCAATGGGAATAACAAGTTCAATTGGGAGTTGTTTTCTGCCTAGAAATATATCATTTTTGCCCCTGCTAAAGTACTGAATTTTAAAGCATTTTGCATTGTTTTTAACCGATTTTATACTAACATAAGTTGCTGTTTTTGTAGCCGCTAGACTTATTTATAAAATGCATTGTCATTGTTGCTTGATAATCACCGTTTAAGAAGGAATTCGGCTATCGTTAGTGAAAGCTTTTTGCACCTAGTATCTTACTATAATGTGTTGTGTAATACGATAGTGGTTTATCCCTCGGTGCTGGTGAGGCGCCACTTTTGTGCCTCGAATTAGCCCCCTTGTACCTCGCTGGGTGGGTTGGCCTTTTGGGCCATGCCAATAGCCCAGACACCTTCTCCGTGCTGAATATATATTCTGCCCGAGTATTGTGTCTTCTTTCGTCTTCAGGGAGTCCCGGGACGCTACATTGGTGGCAGCGGAAAGCGAACCCGATCTTGAAAGACATGTATCCTGATTTTCCACTTCTGCGTGGTAAGCCTTAGTAGAGCGGAAGAAGTACATATGCTACGGATGGGAGAATGGTGATGACTCCTAACAGAAGGGTTGATGTTGACGTCTACCTTCGGCATCTCTCCCAGTCCCGTGTTCTGCAGAAAAGCTATTAACAG